ACCTTGTGTAATGTAGGTTAATGTCAAGATAGAAAAAATAGGATGGATGTGAAAGAAAAAAAAATCCAGTTTTCAACCTAACAGTTCAATCCCTACATGACTATTGCTGCAGATTTGCCACAAACTGTTTCCAATCTCATTGCTTCCAAGTTGGTGAGTATATCCTACTAATACCAGTTGAGGCCTATCCTCCATATACCAGGTGTCATATTGCAAGCACTTAAACGCCATCTAGTCGTAGGTCTAGAAGTTGGATATTTTATCCTTCCTCTTTCTTCTTAAACCTTATTTAATTCCAACTAAACCAGTTTAACAAAGGAAGATGGACAGATGGCTGCAGCACACAAACCAAACAGGTTGTGGTGGAATTCGGGAACACCAACTCTTGTACCGTGAACCATCAATAAATAAATCAGGCTGGGTTCAATTTGACATATGACTTTAACTGGGAATTATTACAAATTATTACAACCCAGTTTGAGTTAAGAATAGTAAATAACTTGCTCCAAGGAAAAGAACCGTGAGGAAGCCCCGAGGCACAACAGCCTTTTTTTAGGGGACATAACTTCTACATTTTACAGTAACAGAATAAAATAAACATCATTTTTCCAAACAAGGAAAGAGAAGACTTTGAAGTAGACTTCAGAGATGGGAGTCGTCATATTGTTTGAAATACATGGAGGAAAATGGAACTTTGCACTTTAGTTCTGTTCAGGATGTTCTGCATAGCTTTGCGATTTTAAAAAAGTTGTGTCATTTCTGTTTTGATTTGTTCCTAAATTAAGCTATAATGCCACATATCGTCTTTGCAATGCAGCATTTTCAAATAACAGCTGTTGGACCTCACAAGAAAAAAAAGGTTCTGCACCAAGTCATCAGAGGAACCAGAGCTCACAAAAAAAAGAGAAATAACCTCACAGCTGACTACAGAGTATGTAATTGCTTTAAACAAGACAAACCTTTTCATTAGGACCAATAATCATGGAATGGCCCATTTGGAGTCTCATCATCAATCTTAGATGTGTTTCATACACATACTGTTTGAAAAACCTGCTCTGAGTTTACGCTCAAAACTGTTAACCAGTAACAACATGAGCCCCATCAGGAGGCTGGAACACAACTTGTAGGCCAAAAATATATAATGAGGTCTGGAAGATCTCATTTCAACCCAGAGGCAACTTTCTTCCTTAGTTTACAAAACAACTGACAAAGAGAAAAATGCTGATGAAACTGGGTGGAAAACATGCCACTGAGAGAAACTTTTTAATTCATCTTTCTATAGTACCCATTTTTTTTTTTTTTAAGAAAAAAATGTTTTGTTTTGGTTTTAGTTTTAAATTGAAAAACTATTTTCTTTATTTTCAATTCAAGTCTCTTTTATGCGACTTATTGATTCGTTAAACAGTCTGTTCATTTTCTGTTCCCTTTAAGCTTCTTTTTTCAATCTAAAGCTTTAATTTAGTCTATTTGCGTTAAATGTTTCTCTTGTACTTTATTTGATGTTTATTTTGCCTCATTCCTTAATACAGCTCCATAAAACCTTCTTCAATTTACATCTGTTTGGAAGAAAGAATGACTGGTTCTAATTTTTTTATATATTTTTTTTAACTTTAAAACTGACGCAATAAAACCATAAACAATAAAAAAAACTGACAAAATAAAATATGAAGAAATAATCTAACATTTTTCACTTATGTATTATGTGAAAACCTCAGTTTGCATTTTATGGATTTTTGATTTTCTAAATCATGGGAGGAAATAAAATAGCATCCTTAAGGGTAATTCGTATTCTAGTTCCAGTAATGGAACACTCTCAGGGAACCTTTTATCTAGAAAAATGTTTATGAAATTTCCAAAAACACTCCAGTAGAGAGCTAACTAAAAATAACGTCTGCTATTTTTTCTTTATATGGGCAATCCTGCTGTGGCATTTTTATACAACAGCTGTTGCACCTCACAGAAAACCAACGGCCTTGATGATGTGTTAAGAGTTTATTACAAAGCAATTGTAGACACCAAGGGTTTATCGAAATATTTTTCTTCATGCCTGGTTGTTTACTCATTAAATCCTCTAATATTTCCAGTACTTTACATCAGGGATGCAAAGCGTCAAACAGCAGGGACCTGCTGGAGCAGACAGATCTAATATAACAGCAACATCTGAAGCTGGCGCTGCTGCATCATCTGATTATGTCAGAGGAACCAATCTTAACGTCCACAGAAGAAATTAAAACTAAAAGAAGTGGGAAATTATCATGACATTAGATGTGCTGTTGGTCCTAACCGTTTTAACTGCTAACATTTTATATCTATATCATTATTAAATCATTTTATTTTCAGCCTTAGGATATAAAAATAATCCATTGGCTAATTCTAAATAATGTACAGGATTTGACAATCCTCTTTAATGGGCATGTATACCAACATTAATAAATAGAAAGTCCATGAATTAAAAGTTTAAAGTCATAAATTAGAAAAGTTGGTTGATATTAAAACATGATTTGATTATTTATTAATTCATAATTTTTTTTCTAGTTACTGATTATGAAAGTTTACCTTTTTGTTTATTAATTTGACTTCTCTGTAGATAATCTGCGGCTCTGTTGAGAGGTCATCAGCCATCAGTATCTTAGCAACTGCAGAAAACTATCATATATGCATTTGGAAAATGAATAAATAAAAATAATAATAATAAATGATATAGAAATAGAATCCCCGTTCCAGAAAGATTTCAGCAATTTTACTTTGACCACAAGAAACAAACAAACATAAAACACTCCAAATCAAGGAGGATGTGAAAATTTTAGGTTCTAAACGAAACCTAAAAGTACGAAACCTATATTTTCTGTAGTAAACATTCATTATTAGCCAGCAGACTGCAAAATATATTCATAACTGCAACTACAGTTATATAGATATAACAGCTGGGACTAGTCTGAGACACATTTTGTGGAATTATTCCACCTTTAAGCTTTATATTTGCTTATATCTGCAGCATAGCAGGGATAAGAGAGAGGGCAGAGAATAAAATATCTATTGCTTTGGATGAGTAATTTCATAATGTGTTGGTGGCAGAGGGCTCCATCATTTCTAAATAGCAAATAGCCCCATTCACTTTAATGCCTTATTTTTGCCATTGACTCTAACAACTCAATTTTATGTCAGATCATTTACCAAATCAGATGCAGAGTGTTGTAGGGGCTGGACAGATGCATTCAGAATGTCAAAATAAAACAGATGCAGGTGCTCCAGGCTACCTCTAAAGGTGGTCGGTAGAAAAACGTCTTTAATGTGTGCTGAGTTTTTTTTGGCTGTCTGTACATGACCTAGTTAATCAGGAGGGATGTTTAAGGCAGCTGTGAATAAGTCCACAGACCTGCTTCTCATTCTATCAATTAAAAGTCAGTTATAGCGATAATAAATAGCAACACTGTGTTTTTCCAATTTTGATTTGTTTAAAATTAAATATTTATAAATACTCATTTCATTTATGCTTTATTTGGATTAGTTAAAGGGATAACTTTGATATCTCCAATAGCACATTGCATGCATCTGCATAAAGTATTGAATTGAAAACTCTATTCTCAACCCTGATCTTTCCTTTTATCACTGAGATACGGTGCTGAAGCTTTCTAGTAGTCCAATGTCAGGAGATGAAGCCTCTGATTCCTCCTGCATCTTTAAACATACACATATTTAATACAATCCAAATCCATTAGTGAAACGACACAGATAAGAGTGAACGACAGGTGGGAAAAAAGTAAGAAAAATTAACATCTGTGTGAGTTTACCCCTCAAGCTCAATTTTCTGCATGTAAATAAGTGGCTTATTATGTCTGCATCCCAGTGCAACATAAACTGAACCATTATTTTTGAAAGACAGCAAAAAACAAACAACTTAATCACACCTTTTATAAAGCTGTGAGAACTCTCTGCCTATCATCCCTAAACTTTTCAGCCAATTATCTACCCTGTTAATACTACCGTTCTTGCCAAGATAAAATAAAATATATACTTTCTTCCTTCATGCTACCTCCTCTCAGAGTTATCTTGTTTATGGAAGCCCTTTTTCCACAGTGTAGCTTTGATGATTTGGACATTAATATGAGTTGTGGTATTAGAATAGCTCTCCATGCCCTTTCAGCCAGTTTTCTCTGTGTAGCATGTAGGTTAGAGGTTTTAAAACAAGATTAGAGAAAAGAAGCAATTTCAAACATGTTTCTGTTAATCTGACCTGAATATTGTTTATTCATCCAATGTGTGGCCAGTGATGTCTTTGGACTCATTTTACTGTAAAATGATATTTGAAGAAGTGATGGAATCCAAAAACAACTCTTTAATAGCTTGATGAATAATGAATGAACCACGCGAAGACCAATTTCCTCGGCCCGGGAAATAAGAAGAAATAAATTATGCAAAGTTCTTAATCTCTGATTTTAGAGAACATTCTGCCATCAGTGTCGTGGTGAAGCACTTTGAGGACAGCGGTGAAGCACCCTGCGGGAAGTCGCACTTACCAAGACTTTGAGGGCTGGCCTCGTGCTCCTGGATCTTCACGTGTCTAGCTCCAGGAGGAATATGAAACATCTTAAGGTAACCTTTCAAAGTTCGCAGCGGCAGCAGAAGCGGGGAGGTTAGAAAAGATGAGAGGAGACAGAAAAGTTAAGCAGATATGGAAACAAACTGTTTGCTTGCAGCGGTGGACATCAGCCTTTTGCAGAATTTTTCCTCACTTTGCTTTTAGCAGCGATGTTTGAAGAGGGAAAGGGGAAGTCGTGTTAATGTACCTCATACAAATAAATGAAAGTATCATTGAAACATGGCCAAAGAGGTTTAAAAAATCCATATGCTACAAGCTGTAAATGAATTGCCTCTTTATTGATTGGGCCACTGTTTCAATGAGGGATGATTAAAGGGTTATTCTACTCTATATACTACAGATCCAACAAAGTGGCCTTCTGCTGCAGATGTCCACCGCTTGCAAACCCGCCGCCACTCACCCAACACATTTCTAGACTCCTCTGTCTCATTTAAAAACACATTTCGAGCTCCTTTAGGCAGAGAAAAGGCTCCTCTGGTCTTCCCTTCAAGAAGAAACAAATCAGTTAGTCATCATTTCATTGTCTCTCTCGCTTGGAAGCTACACACTGTGGAAGCACATTTATAATGAGCGAATCAGGGACTGGAGGAATTCACAATAAATGAGGTGGTAAACAATTTTCTGCTGCCAGTCACCGGGAGGAGGGGGGCGGACTTATGTGCAATTGCTCATCCTCAGATTTGACTGAATGGACCTGACACTCTAGAAGCAGCAGGTGAGTCTGAGGTGATTATGAATGCGACTGGAGAGATCACTCAAGGTTATAGAAGTGGTTGGTAGGTGTTCAACTTTCAAGGCTCCAATCAAACTTTCTAAAATAAAAAAGAAGTAGAAAGGAAGAATTCTGGAGGACATCTGAACAACAGGCCCAGTGGTGGAAATAACATTTTGATTAAAAGCTTTATTGTAGATTGAAAGAAAGACTCTTGTCTTAAATTGGCTCTGTGGATGTGACTCATTGGACTGAACAGAGCACCAGTGTGCCCGTTAGGTTTTAGTGAATCATACTGTGGATGGCCAATTACATGGTGGATTGCTTCCAAAGGTCAGTAGCCTGGTTCAGAGTGACATTTCTAACTACAAAAATCCCCCCCCCGTCCCAACAAAAAAAGAAGAAGTAGACTACGTTTGGTAGACTGGGGACATTTCCACATCAGACATTGACATTAAAAGCCACACAACTCATAACAAACAGCATCTTCTACCTATAATGAGCCCATAACATTAAAACCAAAGCAGACACTTAATTAGTTTACAGGGGGGCAGAAGAAACAACAGTTTATGACACTGATTTCTTCAGATATCTACAGCGTTAGACATCCATCTGCACTACAAGATGGCAGCAGGGATACTTGCATATTGAGTTTTCCACCAGAGGGGAGTCATTTTGGGCCCTCTTGCTCAATTGTTTTCCTGTAAAAAAGTTGGGTTTAATAAGAAGTGAGTGGTAAGAAAAAAAAGGCCAGAAATTATTTCAAAGCATCTTCACATTGAGCCTGTTAGAAGGCTCAGATGTTTTTTATTGATAGATAAACTTCCATGTTGGAGCCCTCTGGATGGAACAGGCGGCTGTCAGGAATGGGTGGAAATGCATTCAAGTTATTTACTTATATATGCAGCTGAAGGGGAGAACTTGTTATAAGAAAAAATGAAGCACCTTCCTTTTCTGCTTATTGAGAGCTCAACAGGAAAGAGTTTCTCTCTTGAAGAGACTTTCTAGTTACTTTAATTTGTACTTTTTACATGTTTGTGTGGAGCTGAAAATAGAAAACACTCTACATGAAGAGGTTTAAACTATTAATGTTTAAAGGAAAGCTTAAGCATGATTCTTAAAGAAATTGCAGGTTTATTAATACACACAGTGCGCCTTTATTATACATGGACATATAAAAATAGTGATTTGACTAAAAACAAACCATTAAATCACTTTAAACATTTCTCCAAATGGGCTCATTTTTAGGTTTTATACAAATTTAGTTTTTATGTCACTGAGGGCTTCCGGACTTTTACCCGATGTTATAAGAAATAACATCATGGTGTGATAAGCCTGAACATCAGCCTAATTTCATTAAAATGCATCAGATTTCCTAAAAGCATGTTTCATATTTGATATTTCAAAGAAACAATCAATATAAATATGGTTAACTCTAAACACCTCATAATATACCTTCTGGACTTTTTTATTTTATTTTTTCATGTTGTCATGTAACAAACTGAAATATTAATGTATTTAATTTGGATTTTTTTTGTATGAAAGACAAACACATAAAAATAACCCTTCTTGAGTGCTTAACATATAACTCTAAAGCAGATGAAAAATAAGAAATAGCTAAGAAAATAATTCTAAAACAAAAAACACACAGAAAATATTTATATATTTATATGTATCTAAATATATATATATATATATATATATATATATATATATATATATATATATATATATTTTACTTTAAAACTGACGCAATAAAACCATAAACAATAAAAAAAACTGACAAAATAAAATATGAAGAAATAATCTAACATTTTTCAGTTATGTATTATGTGAAAACCTCAGTTTGCATTTTATGGATTTTTGATTTTCTAAA